TTATTTTTACGCCAACACAGTTTAAAAATCTCCGCTGCCTCCTTGCTGCTGTGGAGAGGCGGCTGCCACATTACTCTGACATGCTGATGTCATTAGTGTCCACGCAGACCCTCTCCAGCTAATGAGGCGGCAGAGAGAAAATTAAGGGGAGAAATCACACAGGCACGTTGCTTTGTATGTAGATGGAGAAATAAAACAAGGGCAAGAAAACAGAGGCGCTCCTACGATGGCCGTCCCTCCCCCGGAGCCCGCGCACGCGGCTGTGAAGGCAGGAAATGGGGCCCTGGGTTTTGACTACGGCTATCCCAGGTTCTCCCCTAAAATCCTGTGAAACTGGGGTAAGTAGGTAAAGTCACTTGATCTGATTCCTTAACTAGGTCAAGAAGAAAACGTCAACATTTAAGGCCCCTATTTTGGCATTGTCAACATCCAGGTGAAGCAAGACCAGGGCTTTCCAGATATTTCTAGAATCTGTCATTGCCTGCACCCACCTCCACCCGCCGTTGTTCAAGCCAAGTGCACCCCTCATCTGGATTTCCACCACGGCCAGTGGTGTTGAGTCTGGCATCAACCTTGCAATCCCCAGCCTCTCTTGGGGCTGGGCTCACGGGTGTGCACTACTGCAGAATCCCACACTGTACGGCAAGGCCTCCGCCTGGCTGTCCAGGCTCAGGTCTCGGTCCCTGCTGTTCCTTCTGTCTGGAACAAGTCCCTTTCCCGAGGCCTCACATAGCTGGGTCTTGGTGTAGCCTCTGATCCCCCACCAGACCAGCCCCCATTTGCTCTTGGCTATGTGGCAATTGTCACCACAGCGATTTCACATTGGCATGTGTGGTTGTTCAGCTCACAAGACAGGCAATTCCATGAGGGCCGGGAACACGTGTGGTCTCTCTAATTCCAGCCCAGAAGTCCCCAAGACAAGCCCACTGAACGCATAACTCAATGTGCAAAGGATGCCCTCGGGAGGCGAAGTGGGTACTTCGCGGCCTGGGGAACCTTCACCGTGGTGTTGTCCTGCACTTCCCCGACTCCTGGTCATATCCCAGGAGGAACTGTTTACGGCCCTCTGCAGGTGCATTTCTGCTGCTCAGGGTGACCTCTGCTCCACGGGTCACAGAAGCAGTACAACATAGGGTCAGGGCTGGAGGGGCTAGAATGCTTGGTCACACACATGGTGAAGGCAAATGACAAGTTCTGTGGAGGTGGTTGGGTGATACTGGGGAGCAAATGAGACTGGCCACTTAATCCAAGCACTGATTCCAGGTGGCTGCCAACTGAGAACCAGGGAAGGGGAGGAGGCAGGGGAGGGCAGTGATTCTAGGTGAAGGAACTTGGAGGTAGACCCAGCTCCGCGACTATGGGTCTACCATGTCAGTTTTGGAGGGGGCTAGACTTAAGGGCACCCCTCCCTTTGTGGCTCCAAAATTGTGTTCTGAGATTGAACCAAAAATGTGCTCTTCAAAGAGGTGGGAGGTGCCAAGGAGAAGGGGAAGCTGGGCTTCATTACTGGCTTCTGAACGCGCCTTCCAGGTAGGAAGGTGCAGGAGAGAAACTCAAGCCTTTTCCTTTATCCAGATCAAGCATCCAGTCCACACGGTGGGCCTGTGGCAGGTGCCAAACACTTCCAGGCCCATCTCTGCCTTCTTGCGGTATTTGCCAGGCCTGACCCTAACCTGGTGTGACACCTTCCAGAGCCCACATGGTGCTGTAGCTGGCCACCTGCGCCAGCCTCTGGTGTGAACTGCAGCTCAGAGGGGAAGAGAGGCCTGGCGTTGTCAACAGGATGGCTGGAGGCCTGGATACCCTTTGATTCTCCACAGGCTCCGGCAGATCCTTGTGTCCGCCTGCTGCCGAGGAGGTGTCCTTGTCTTGGTGTGGGGGAATGGTGATTTATGTCCCAAGCTCGGTGTGAAGTTCTGTGCCTCAGTCATTCTGAGCTCCACGGGTGTCTCTTTACATCTATTTAAAGTACGGCTGCTGCCCACTGGCTGCGTGCTCTGTGACATTCCCAGTGGCCTGTGCTTGCCTCGCCGTGGCGCCTGAGTCTTGTCTGCTGAGCGTCTTTGTGGCCTGTGTGAGTGTTTGTGGGCATTAGCCAAGGCTGCCGAGCCCTCTTGGGCCTGTCCCTTTGATGTTGTGTGTGATTAGATCCCTTCCCCAGTGGGATACTCTTGGGGAGCCTGGGGGAGGAAGATGCTACCTCCAGATCACAGCATATTGTCTGGTTGTCCTGGGGCAAGGTTAGAATGTCACAGGCACTTCTACCTTTGCTTGGAGGATTCTCAGTGTGGTACATGTGTCCCCATCCACCAGCTGCTCCTGGCCAGGTGTGGGGGCACCCCCTGGAAGTGTGAGGATTGTCCAGAGGTTAAAGGCGGCTGCATACCCTATAGTTGCTGGAACCTTTTGCATTCATTCAACATCCCTGATCAAGGGCTACCTTGTCTACACCACCTGAGCACAGGGTAGGCAGCAGTGGGCAACGCTTGGGTGAAACTTCAAGATCTTAAAGATTTCTCAAAAAAAAAAAAAAATCCAAATCTTCCCACTTTGGGGTGGAATTGACTGGGTAGTTATTGTTAGACCAGGGGCCAAGCACCTCTCACTGCCTGGTAAACCTGGACTCACCCCAGCCTGGCTGGGCAGAGGGAGCTGGACCACTGACTATATACCAGTCATGTGTGGCTGACATAGTTTTGGGGGTCCAGAACAGAGTCTTGAAGATGGGCCAGAGGCTTTGTCCTTCATCTCTAGGTCAAGGCAGGGCATTTCCTGCAGCTTGGAGACAGAGTTCACGCACTAGAGGTCTCTAGAGGGGGATGGTTGTGAGTCTGCCCTCAAAACTTGAAAACCTGGGCAAAGATCATGTGCACTAAAATGACATCAAGGCTAATGAAGGATTGTTCCTGGTTGCTACTGGCACATTTTGGCTCCTAATTTTTTCTTTAAAAATGGCTCCATGTATTTTCCACTTGAGGCTCATCCTATAAGGCTGCTCCTTTCATTCTGTATGCAGTGTCATACAAGGAGTGTCATGCAAGGAGTGCACGTCATGGTTTAATGCAGATGTAATGTGATTGGCAGGGCAGCGGTGAGTTTTGCTTCTATAACACAGGTTGATGAACTAAGCCTGCTAGTAATGGGAAAGGTTAAGGGCTAAATTATGAACACAAAGGGCATCAGAGAATGCAAGCATGCTGGCGTTTCCTCCTTTTAAGAGTCTACCATGTTGAAATGCTTTGGAGGAGCACCTAGGGAGATAGTGACAGAAAAGGGTGATCATGTTGGTCACATAAAGGGACATCATGTTGGTCTCAGTGGATTTCCCACTTTTTACCTTTCCTTTTGTAGACATACTCTCTACCCTGAGTGCATTTGTAATGCAGAGTTAGCATTAAGAGAAATATGTGAACTGTACTGTTTCAGATACTGTTCTTTTGGGTAACAACCTTCCTGATATCTATTAAAAATGTGCCAGACCAAAATATGTCATTTGCCTATGGCTTTGTGTCTTGGGTAATGAGATCAATTTTTATGTCAAATACACAAAAATTTTACATCCAATGAAATGATTTCCTTCAATGAAGTCTTTGGGAAGGGCAATTTCCTACTCCAAACAACATTTTGGAAACTTCTTTTGGAAACACTCCCTGCCTTTTGGGTATTTTCTCTGATGAGAAATCTTTATTCTTCATCATTATTATTTCAGGGCAGATCTGACAGGTGGATCGGATGTCAAGTTTACCAAGGTGAGAACCTGGGAAATGGAGTTGAAGTCTCAACACAGCTGTGACCCAGAAGGAGGCACTTGACATATGGAAACTCAGGTAGACAGATGTTTGGACAACATCATCCCCGGAGAATTTCACACCAGTGCTAAGAGGCTAAAGGAGAGGAATTTGCGAGGGTGTTAAGTGCTATCATTAACAAGGCCGGAGGACGAGGCTGGGTAATTTCGTTTTAGATCAAACACCAGATGCAAACAGAGACTATTTTTTCATCTTTCAGAAAATAACACCAGAAGATGAACCGCCAACGTGTTTTGAGTCGTGATAACGTCATTGAAATAAACGCCAGAGGTCCCCACGTTACTCTTTTGAAAAGGTATGTTCTGATATGCTACTTACAGCCCAACCTCTTAATTTCCTTGTGACTCTGACCACTAGGAAGTTTCTAGGCCTTTGATTCTCAAAAAGTGGGGTCCTAAGATCAGCAGCCTCGGCCTCACTTGGGAGCTTGTTAGAAACGCAGAGACTCCATCCCAGAATCGCCCCCGGGGGCCTGGGCCCGTCAAAGTTTGAAAGCCTGCATGCAAAGCCAGCTCCCAAGTCCGGCCTCTGCG